GCCAAGGCAACATTTCTAGGTACTCATTATTTTTTTTAAGTTTCTTTTTTTTTTTTTTTTTACAGTTCACTGGAATAGTCCTGCAGTGTTACAAATGAATGAATCAAATATTAATATATATTTTTATTTATGCAGTCTCTTAATTAATATGAGGTCATAAATCTCAAGGGCTTGATTGGTTTTATAGTTGCAAAATGTAAACTACTGTATATTACCATCCAGCTCTAATCTGCTAAAGGCATGAATTAATTCATATACTGATTTGATGATTTCTATAAAGCTGCTTCAAAAAATGTGTATTGTGAAAAGCACTATATAAATAAACTTGACGTCACAACAACCTCCCAACTCTACACACATGTAGCGGTTATGTATTAATTATAGGGCTGGGCGATATAGCTAAAAAATGTATCAACGATATAATGTTTCTTATAGTTCGGTATCGATAATTATTGAGATTTTTTTAACCTTTTTTAAAACAAAGAGCAATAGAAAAAAATGTTTAAATTTAACCACTGTATTTTTAAATTAACGCAATTTATTGAGACAAACAACAAATATATTGTTTTTAACAGTCAAACACAAAATAAAAATTAAACAAATATCTTATTTCTAATATTTTATATGCAGATTAAATAGGCCACAGGAGGGCGCAATGAGCAAAATAATGCAGCGCATTAAATTTTCTACGCTATATTTCTCTAATATTTTGAATGAATAACTCAGCAGCGGCGCGTCTCGTGGGCTAGACCAACAAAACATTAAAATGCAAAAACGTCACTTGAATCATCATCACCGCATCTCGCGCGCCACTGATGACGCTTCCTGACTCACACCTAACATTTGATTGTACCATTTTTGCATTCAAATGCAAATGTTTATTTTAAATTCAACTAATATTCATTTTTTATTCACAATCTCCTCATCACAGGCAGGCACATCACTCAGCATGTGTTCGTGTTTGTGTGTGCGGTCTGCGTCACTCAGAGCACGTGCCTATATCGTGCGCTATATCGAAATTTTTTTCTATCGTTATAGAAGAAGGTGTACCGTCGATAAATATTGATACCGTTTTATCGCCCAGGCCTAATTAATTACTTACCTAATTTGTTACTTTGGAAATGTAATAGGTTACAGATTACAAGTTACTCTACTTAAAATGTAATAAGTAGTGTAAGTAGTAATAAGTAACTATTTCAATTATTTTATTAAAGTAATGTAACTGATTACATTTGATTACTTTTCTAAATTTGTAACAAATGTTTTCAACTGTTAATCATTTTGAAACATGTAAAGCAGGCAGGTTTAACCTTATGTAGTATTCAACACTGATTACTGTCACTTTCGAAATACTTCATCACTTGAATTAAGATTTTAATAATTTAATTTTAAAGCACAGCCACCACAAAATCAGACTTACTTTGAGATCATTCTGAGGTTAAATACAGATTTAATATCATAACTAGATATAGTTTAATAGCTATGATACTGTTTTTGAAATTAAATCTTTGCATAGTTATGACAGGAAACACTGCCTTGGAAAAAACAGTTAATCTTAAAAAATAAAACATATGCATAAACCCAAATAGGAAATAAAACAGTTATCGAATAAGCGTGTGCCCTAAACTCCTGAAACATTGGTGTCTCATATTTTAGAGCAGTCAATGCAATTTATGAAAGAAATCAATTAAATCTGTATGTGTGTGAAAAAAAAACAAATTCTGATGCAAGTAACCCCCTTTGTACTCGAACATTTTCATAAGTAACTGTAATTTAATTACACATTTTTTCTCAGTAACTGTAACTGATTACAATTACATTTAGTTTGTAACTAAATTACGTAATTTAGCTACATGTAACTAGTCACTCTCCAACACTGTGTATTAATTAGGTAAAGCCTGAGAGCTGTTAGATAATGACAGCGTCTCACCGTTCCGAACAGTCGTCCGTCCGCGTTCATGGCGAGGTAACGATTCGCGCAGATCCCTTTGATCACCACTTCACCGACGGCCGTGGCCTGGAGCTGCAGCCGAACTGCGAGAGAACAAACACACAAACTCTTAGTCAAAAGTGGTGCTTCGCTACCAAGTCCAAACTCTTTACTCTATTACTTCTGCGATGCATGTGTGGAGTTTCTGCGCAAGAGCGCCCTCTGGCTTCCAGTATGAATTAAACAGTCATTACATTACGTGTGTGTACTCAGTAATGCTCACAACACCCTATTTTGGGTAAAAATAGGAAAGATAATAC